GCGGAACGGCAGAGGAGAGGAGAAGACATCGGAAGGGAAACAGAATATGGAATGAAGAGAAGTGAGAATGGACGCTAGTGAAATGTTTGAGTCTACACGGCATACAACAAAGACAAGAGAGGAAGACGCAAGCATGTAGTGTACAGGAAAGGATAGTCGGAAATGGATGAAGTACCGAACACCAAAAGCTTCGTTTCGTCCATACCAATGTCCACGAAACAGAGATTCACAGTTCGCTAAATCCCATAGTGCACAAGACGTGCCGGACGTGCCCGACGGGGAGGGGAGGGGGGAGGGGGAGTCCATAAACACGCGAGGTGCCGACGTGCTGGAGGGACCCGGCGGCGCGCGGGGCGAGGGAGCGGGCGCCGCCACGCAGGCCGTACACAGGGGAGTCGGGGCCGGTATTTTTAGAGCTCCGGTGTGAGGTGTCTGGGCAGAGCCGACACAGGGAGAGAGCCTGGGTGTAACGTCAGGCGCGGAGGGTGGACGGAGGGTGGATGGATGGTGGACGGAGGGTGGATGGTTGGTGGATGGGTGGAGGTCGGATAGTGGAAGTATAAAATCTGCAGGGATGGACGTGTTGTAACCGCAGGTTGTTTGAAAAGACAAACACTACTCGTTAGAATTGTGTTTTTCTATTGAAAAACAACCGGAGCTATTGGCGACCGGTGCTACCGCAAAGCAGCGGGAGTGTAGAAGGATTCGCCGCGTAGCTACATATTCAGCAATCGGCAGTGGCGGAAAGTCGAGAATGCCAACGAACAATTAGCATAACTCAGCACGCTACGCGCTGCCACTGGTATGTGCACCTGTTACCCTGTCAAACCAAGGCAGAATCTGTCCTTGGCACGTTTCCCAGTCATGTTTCAAATTTAACAGTGACAGGCCTTAACGCATTCATCATCATGCCTCGTGCAGGAATACTCAAATTTTGGTTTCAAATAATAATAAAATTATATACCTGTCGCTGTAGCGAACACTACATAGACTTACATCATAATAACAGGCCAGCCCAAAGCCACCTCACAGGAACGTTCACCTTCAGCGGCTCAGCCTCGCTGTTCCAGCAGTGCCCGCGCGCTCGCCCGATCGGAACGCGCCAGTTTTCCTGTAACATGCCGAAGGGCGAAGCGCCACGACAAAACCGCAAAAATCCCCCCCCCCCCCCCCTCACACCGCAGTCGGCATCAGAACTGGCATCGGCATCGTACGGCTGTGATCCGTCAGCCATCCACCGCCGATGCCGGAGTGTTCCATCGGAACATTCCAAGGCGAGTTTCGCCACCGTCTCAACAGGCCGCCTTCGCCGGCGGTACGGACCGCACGCGACCATCGGCCGCCGCATAAAGCCCGGCCCGCCACCGGCCGGCCGGCCGTGAGGGGGTAGGGCGCCGGGCCACCTGTGCTACACAATGACCTACAGCGTCCAAACTACGTCGAATTCAGGCATGCCGATTGGCTGAATCGATCGGTGAGGTGTAACAATCACGTAGCCACTTTCAGCGTGCAAATATTCAGCCGCGTTATGCATCGGGAGTCCTATGCATATTCCCCATCGGCACAAGTCCGTCAACGCGGGGCTGTATCGTCCAGCCATGCATTGGATAAGGTATTCCTCCATGGTCTAGCCAGGCTTTGGATGTGCGGCGCATGACGTCGCTGCCAGCAGGGGTTGGCTCGCCGCGCTGTGCGCACCCGTCAGCTGAGTGAGCGCACGGCGAGCTGCCCACGTGCGGCGGCCGGCACCTGTCCAGTCGCTCACCCTCCCGGCTCCCCGCCCGGCGCTGCGCCGACCGGCCGACGGGGTGCACCTGTTCAGGGGAGGGTGGCGGCCGCACCGCACAGGCTCCATTCAAGGTATAAATAACACCAGTCGATCCCTCAGGCGCTCCAAGCTGAAAGGCCCCATTATTAGGCGGTTCAGGACCACCTGACAACGGCTGTTTCCGCTCGAATCGGCGATTGTCAGCTCATGAACAACCCTGTGTTCCCTCTCCCGGCCCTATGCCTGGTGACAAGTTGGAAGGCACGGGCCGGGCAGAGGGGTTGGGCGGTGCATCAAAAGCTACTACAGCTTGATGAAGTGACGCCTTTAGCGTCCTTAGCATCCAAAGCAAACAGTATAATTCCAGGTTTCAGGTGGACAAGATTCCTGAGATTATGTAAGAGCTTGAGAGTTTCGTCAGATTTGTACTAGGTCGACATGCTTGCTCTTACGAGGATCAGAATGTTGTGGCGTATAACACAGATGCAACCAGTTTATCAATTGAATTATAAGTGGAAAACAATGGGAACGTTTTTGGTTATATTACTTTAAGTTGGCTACACATGTGTTTCGATATAAATCTTTTTCAAGCCATAAACAACTTTACTTTTTTTCAACAACTTTTTTGACAACTTTGATGTTTAGGCGAATTATTTACATTTTATTTTGTCTTAATGGCTTGAAAAAGATTTATATCGAAACACATGTGTAGCCAACTTAAAGTAATATAACCAAAAACGTTCCCATTGTTTTCCACTTATAATTCAATTTGTCTATCTATATCAGTTTATCAATCATCGTCGTTTCGGAGGCAGGTAAGACAACACAAAACGCTTATGTAAACTGCCCACATGCCATCAGTTGACCCTGCAAGATTCAAAAGAATTCAAGAAGAATATTCAAAATAGCTCTTCTTAGTCTTATTCCAACGCCGAAGGTCTTCTCACAAGGCGTAAAAACGCTTCAAAAACACCTATGATCTCAAATCCCTCCCGCTGTCACCCTGTCATTCAGAGCTGACATCTGACATCCGCCACCGACTCAGGACCATAACGCATGCCTCAGCAATGGGTGAAAACGTCCATCGCGGACGGAGACGATCCGTCTTCGAACGGAGACGATCCGTCTTCGAACGGAGACGATCCGTCTTCGAACGGAGACGAAGCGGACGAGCTGGGCGGACAAGGCGAGGTGACAGAGAGCGTGTGTAACGCCACATATTCGTGCAAGAGCGATCGTGATTCGCTCGGAGGAACAGAGATATAAGACAGAAACATACAGCAAATGAATACTGGGTCAGCTGATGAATGACGAACAACAGACATATGGGTGGATATTTTGGTAGTAACTAATCCGAAAGATTTCACTGATGATGATGTTCATGCAATTTTCAATGGCCCACGGCCCACGGGTCAAGGGTAGGGAGGAGGTGGCCGACGGTTTACCTATATTAAAGGTTTATCTTGAGTTTGGGAGTGACATTTCGATTGATGGTCGACGTGAAATGATGCTGACTTCACAGAACCAAAAGGGAGAATGGTGACGAAATAACACACTATGCAACCGGGCTAGGACTATGTAGAGTAAACATTAAAGATGCGCCCCAAATAGCCAAAGTAATAAAACAATCTTCAATGCTCTCAATTACAAGAAGAAAAGAAAAGGCATTCCTTCACAGACATTCAGTGGGGAAGTGCGTTTACTGGTTCTAGCCCACTGAAGCTGCCGCCCTGGGAGTAGGTATGTACGGACTAGGTACGGGCACGCGCAGCGGCTCCCAGCGCGCGGAAGCCGGCGACTATTTCTGTCCTCCGCAGCGGCAACAGTCTGCGGCAACGTAGGTCGGTGACGTCATCGGAGGCACCTCCGGGGGTCTCTGGCCGACACAGGGCACAGAGTCCGTGAACGAGAGGTGGTCGGGGGATGGGGGCCAGGTGACGACGATGCCAGGAATAAGAAATGGCTGACTGATGGTCAATGAACAGGGACAACGGTTGGCTCTTTAAATGTTGATTTTCGTTCAGCCGGCGAATCCAAGAATATCCAAACCTATCTGTAAGGATATTGGGTTAGTGAATATTCCCATTACAGCATCACGGCCTAGCGAGGAGAGAGCCCAGCCGCCGTATCATTGTTGAAGCGGTGCTTCCGGTCACTGCAATTAGATGACGTATCACAGCGGACCACAGCCCAGCCACCTGGCCACCTCCGACCAGCGGACCATGAAGGACCACAGTGGACCATAACGGACCACACATGGCCACAGCAAACCACAGTGGGTCACTGAGCGAACCGCAGCAGACCGTCACACTGACTGCACGGTAGGCGATCAGTACCTATCGCAGCAGCGGGCGCGGCAAAACGCCCATCCTCGCCAGTCGGCCCACCGACAATGTACACCAAACACTGCGCCTGGCCGGGGTAGGTAGCGAGCCGGAGCAGCAGCCGGCGGGTCACGACTCAACTGCCCAAGCGGCATCCGCTCTGCAGCGCGCCGAGTCAGCTGTGTGGCCGCGTCACGGCGGCCGCCAGGGCACTGCTGAGCGAGCCCTCAGAACCGGGCCGGCGGAAGCGGCAATGAGCCGTGCCGCCACCGAACCGGCCCTCAGAGCTGGGGCGTCTACAGAGGAGTGCGGGGTGCGGGACCCGCCACTGAGGCAGGAATACCAGGAGCCGCCGGCCGCCGCTGCTGCGGACAAACGCCGCAAATACAGCACTCAGTGATGGGGAATGATGACTAGCGATGACGACGAAATGACGAAGCCCCAATCTCGAGACGGGCTGGGTCCTTAGCTTAGGGAGCTGACCCTAAATATGACCCTTTGATGTGTTGTCCTATATCTTCAAAAATGGCTGCATGTGGTAATCAAAACTATTCATAGTACTGAAATAGTTTTAAAAACAGCCATTCTTTCAACAATAAATGGAACATCTGCCCATACAGCCCAAGGTACCTCAAATGAGCCCCATTGTCAACTTGTCTCAATTCATTCAAACTGTTCCCAATAGTGTAAATTACATTTTGAATTGTGTGAATGTGCATAACAAGCAGTCAAAATGACCATCATTCCAGCAGACTTTCTATTTGAAAATAGCAAAAGTATGGGCACTGCATTTGAAGAAAGCTGCAATATTTCACCATACCTATCTATACATATGATAAAAGGCTAAAGAAATGAGTTGGAAAGAAGAGATGTGGCAGTCACATTTGGATCTCACTTTTAGTACTCACATCTGGGTGTTCCCGTACTGGAACGTAGACCTTCTCTGTGAGATTGACCACAGTTCCCTGTGGTTCAGGTAATGCCTCAGGCTTGGCATTTCCCGATATTTGGAACAGGCTGCCACGAATCTTGGCGATTTCTGAAACAATCATCAGCACAGCATTATTGAAAATGTATTCAAAGTTCATACTTATCTGCCAGATGCATGCATCACCATGGAAAATGGAATGTAGGTATTACTGACGTATCACATTGTTTGTATATAAGCCGCCAGCCCGCCACCTATATAAGCTAGCCCCAGGCCTCCTCTAGCATACCCAGTTTTGCACGTTAAAAAACTCACCTTCATCCAGAAGCCTTTCAACGTGCAAAAAGACGCTTGGGAAAGCAGTTATTTGTTTTCTGTCTTTAATTAATTGTGCCAAATAATCTGCTATGTTCTGGGTGTTAGGCGAGGAATCACTCATTGTAGAAGTCAGGGTGGTAGCACAATATATTTTAAACTTTTTTTAGAGAGGCGAAATTCGAACAAGAATCCCAGCAACTCCCGTCCTAACTAGCACACACGCACTGCACACCGCAGACTCTCATTCACTTTTGATTCACTTCTGCGACATTTCTGCCATCTAGAGGCGAGCTTCGACCTAACGCCTTGACCTCAACCTATAAATTCGGTCAGCTGACTGTGGTGAGCTTCGCTGATTAATGCTCTAAATTCCACATTTTTCAATTTTTATCAAACTCATATGTTTAAGTAATCATTTATGCAAGCAAAGTGATGCATATTATCGAGAAAAATATTTTACAAAATGTTTTAAAGTCAAGCAAAAAGTCCCAAATTTTTGCTTCGTTCAGTAATTGGATCTTTTGAAATATTCTTACATGCTTCTACGATATCCATTTGCATTCTTTTTAATTTCATATATTTATGAATGGGTTTTTAATGATACCCATCACATTTTGAAAGTTTATTTGAATAAAAAAATGGTCTTTGCAGCTGTTGCAAAATATCAGCTGAAAGCATCTATACAATTTACAGAAATGGCGCAGCAGTGACATTTGCACGATCATTGTTTTGTTTTGGCAAGTGGTTTTGGTATTACAAATCGCCGTGCGCAGTGGCTTTAGGCCTGGTCGGAATCGGCTGCTGTGTGTAATGGTGGTGATGGTTGCTTTGCCTGTGCTCGTTTATTACTAAAATCAGTTGGGTGCGAGACATTTCAATCTCTCCCTCTAATCGGCCATCATGGGTGCGGTGCTTGGGCTTTGCACAGCCTCACAGGTAGGTCAAGATTGTTACTGGTAGTGGTAGGTTAGGTATCTGCCCAATAGACAAAGGGAATTAAAGAGAAATATTTGTTTTCGAAGTGTTATGTGGATTAACCCCGCGTTCGATGTCTCTCGGACGACGAAGAAAGAGAAATATTTGTTTTCGAAGTGTTATGTGGATTAACCCCGCGTTCGATGTCTCTCGGACGACGAAGATTCTATGCCGTCCGGCCAATCCCGTCCAAGGTCAGCGGGGGCTCGGCTGCGGTTATGGAACGTGATTGGCCGGACGGCGTAGAATCTTCGCCGTCCGAGAGACATCGAACGCGGGGTAAGTAAGCATAGGATTGACTTTCCAACTCCTGGAGCATTGAACGAATTTGTAAAAAAAAGCTAAAGGGAAAGAATGTGATAATCCAAATAGAATGGAAAATGTGAATTTGAATGCATTTTATGTTTTTATCACAATGTTTTGCAAAAAGTATTTTTATTGAGCCAGCATGCTAATGATGATGGAGACGTGTCATTTTGATTTACGGAACAGAGTTACAGGTGCCTGTTTCAGATAATTTACTGGTAAAAAAAAAATATCAATGGATTTTCTCTGTCAATGCTATGGTTTCTGCATGAGCACATCAATTTTTTTTACATATTGAATGCCTATTTAGTTGGAGCCACATTGGAAAGGCTGAAGGCTGAATTCACTGCTGACTGTGTTACTGATTCTTTTCAGCTGGCCTGCTGCTGTGGCTCTGCGGCATGCAGTCTGTGCTGCTCAGCCTGTCCATCATGTGCCAACTCAACCAGCTCCCGCATCATGTACGCCTTGATGCTTCTGGCAGTCACTGTGCTGTCTTGCATTCTGCTGGCTCCTGGACTTCAGGACACCATGCAAAAGGTGTGTGAACAATCAGGTTCTTTAAACTGGAGAGTATGTTTCTCATGTAGATCTCTTCTTGGGCTTTGATATTTATATTTGATGCACCAATTTCTGCAAATTTGTAATGCTGTTTTTCATTATGCCTTGGGATGATGTGATGTGGTGTAGTTTTTGCGCTGTGTAGTATAACATGCATATGATATGATAAAGTTGCCAAAGCATTAATACAGGTGGGGTGCAGAAACTCAGCATTATGAGTTACAATGATTAGGTACTCATCATACTCACTCACCTAGTCAACTCACATAGCCTTATCTTTTACGTTAAAGTCACTGGTATGACTATATTGTTTGACCATACTTGCTGTGCTTTACTAGCTTAACTGTCACTTGGCTTAACCACTTTTTTATTGTGTTTTTTAGATGTAAAGTAACAGAGAAGGATATAAGGCTAGGCAAGGATAGTTGATACACTATACACGTCCTAAAATCAGAACTGAATTGGGGCTGGGTTTGCACCTTTCACAATAGTCTCTGTACCTACCATGTTTCCAGCTTTATGTCCAATTACTTTGCATGGCATTAGAAAGTCTAGCAGCTTATTATGCTCCCTGTCTCCTCTGCCATTATACATTGTGTACTGAGTGTGAAGTAACAGCTATGAAGCTGCTACTGTGCTTCTGGTATACCTGGCTTAGAATTTTCACCAATAGTTCAAAATTTTCATACTGCTTTGAGCACTGCTTTTTAAGCCTTTGCAAGGCTGTATGTATTTCATGCAAAAAGTTGTTACAATTTTTCCTGATGCCATATGGTTTAGATTGGCAATCTTTGTTTTTGTTTGGCATTTTATTGTATTCTCTGTGAAATATTATACTAGGTGTGGATGAATAGGCTGGACTTTGAGGTAGTCTGGCTGGCATCCATCTATTAGGCTCTTAATGAAGTGTTTTTTTACCAAGCTAGTTTACCAAGTAAGGATATCTTGTGTCAGGTCTTTTTGGCCACAATAAAGTGCTTTGTGCAAATTATAAATAATTTGTTCCTTTTAGCTGTCTTGACTTAAGCCCCAGTATCATTACCTGCTGCAAAATGGATATGAAAATGGAGGTCAGTGCCTAAAAATATCGCATTTAATCTGCGGTGTGTCGAGGCTGTTCACGGCTACCAGAGGTCAACCAAGCACTTGACAGTTTAAGTTGTGATGTTCAAGTGTGTGAAGAATTGTCTTTAAAGGTTTATCTACAAAGCGTATTCTCCAATCTCTCAGAGTGACCACCGTGACCCGTCTACTCGTGACCCGTGACCATCTACTTTCCGCGGCTGCAGGTTCCGTTCTGCAACGACCACGCTCCGGGGGCGGTGAAGCTCGACTGCAGCACGGCCGTCGGCTACATGGCCGTCTACCGGGTCTGCTTCGTCGCCACCCTGTTCTTCAGCCTGATGGCGCTCGTCATGATCAACGTCAAGTCGTCCAAGGACGGCCGAGCCGGTGTACAGAACGGGTGTGTAGGCCGCGGAGGTGGTATTGGAGGGGAGAGGAGAATAGTTGGCAGTCCCACCAGGCCTGGCGAAGGAGAAGGTTGCGGTTGATCTTGTCATTGTTTTATGATGAATGGCTTTATAAAATATGCGGTCCCAAAAACTACAGCCCTTCGTGAAATCCCTACAAAATTATTGAGTAAAGTGGTGGCATTACTACCTAGGTACGTTTTGATTCTACCAAATCACGAACGACTCATGAGCACGCGGTACTTAATCCTCCTGTAACAATAATCGGATGCAATCCCTGCTCACCAGCACATTTTTTGCAGATTTTGGGCCATTAAATACCTACTGCTGATTGGCGGCATCGTCGGCTCGTTCTTCATCCCAGGTTTGTTCAGCATTCGATGTCGACAACAAGTTAGCAATCATCACTTTTTGTTATTCAATACTTGCTCGCGATCAGCTTTGCATCAGGATGTGTTCGACAATGTCAGATGCAAGTCCACAAGCATGCTGAAGAATAAAGCGTTGTTTGATGAGTGCAGGCTCACATTGGTACAGGCTAACACCATGTCCTTGATGCCCCCTGCTCAGCCGGCAGCCTCAACTGGTGGATGTACTTTGGCATGATCGGTGGCTTCATCTTCATCCTGATTCAGCTGGTGCTCATCATAGACTTCGCTCACTCCTGGGCCGACAACTGGGTAGGTACGCCCCTATCCTGGGGAGTGGGCAAAGGCTGTTTGAAGGGTGCTGCCTCGACCTATATGGCTAGATTAGGATCGGCTAGTTGCTCAATGAGAAGCTGTTTAACGAGCATTGCCAGTATTTGCTTCTTCTTGGTCTGTTCTCGCTGTTTAAGTGCTACGTTAGGTACCTATTTTTCTATTGTTTCTCATGTCTCCGTTTATCTCCGTCCGTTCCGCGCGTACCGTGATGTGACCCGCCCTGACCGCCCTCAGGTGTCCCGGTACGAGGAGACCGAGTCCAAGGGCTGGTACTGCGCGCTGCTGTTCTGCACGTTCCTCCAGTACGCGCTGGCCATTACCGCCGTCGGCCTGTTCTTCGCCTTCTACACACGACCGGACGGCTGCGGCACCCACAAGTTCTTCATCAGCTTCAACCTGATCCTCTGCGTGGCGGTCTCGGTGCTGTCGGTGCTGCCGAAGGTGCAGGAGGCACAGCCGCGCTCTGGCCTGCTGCAGTCGGCCGCCGTCACCCTGTACACCATGTACCTGACCTGGAGCGCCATGGCCAACCAGCCCGGTACGGCGCCCCCCCCCCCCCCCCCCGACAGACGGCGAGGGAGGGGATGTGGGGTGGGCGGGGTGGAGTCGGTGTGTGTATAGCGGGGTCGATTATCGCGTGATTTGCCACAGTGACCTTTGCACCCAGCCCTTGTGAATGGGTTGTTTATTTATGTTTGGCGCAAGGCTTCGAGGAAGAGTTGTCCCATGAATATTCCAGGTCGGGCGTAGCGTTTCGCTTTTGCGCTTTTATCAAATATATTTTAAATCAGCGAATAGCGATAATCATTGTCAGGCCAGGAAGTGATTAAGCTGTCCTTTGCCCAGCTGCGTTAGATATGTGTAAATTTTTGTCGTAAATTCCGTACAATTGTACTTTGAGATTCTGTTTTTCTCTGTCAACAGTTTGCCAGTTCTGCCAGGCGATATAGCTTATAGTGCGTCCTATCCCAAAACAACATGAATCACAACTGCTTTTGTCCATCACCCCTGAGTTCGCCCTACCTTTTCGTCTGTGACCTGACCACTCTGCTAACCGCCTCCCATGTGACCCCCAGACGGCAGCTGCAAGCCGCACCTGACCGCAGTGATCTCTGGTGACACCGGCGCCGCCCCGGCTCCCGACCAGCTGCCCGGCTTCGACGCCCAGTCGATCGTCGGCCTGATCATCTGGCTCGTCTGCGTTCTGTACTCCAGCATTCGGTGAGCGTCCGGTCGACGCCGCGCACATCGGGAAGGTGGTGTTTGGACACGTGTGCTCGGCGGATTGAACACAATAGAAGCTATATACTCTGAGAAGAAACGTCATTAGTGTCGCTTCTCAGATGAAAGGGACGTTTTTATTAATGTCAATTCTTCGTTAGCATTTATTTTAGGTACTAGGATTATCAATATGCAATAACAGCATTATTTCGAATAATGTGATCTTGTGTCGTTTTAAACCTGCAGCTGTATCTGCTGTATTTTGCGCTGGCAATTCCCCATTCAAAAGCTGTCATTTTGGATGTTTTCTGACGGCTCAGACAAGTCGTTGCCATCTCCCCCATCTCGCTTTCCCCTCCACCCCACCATTCTCCCTTCCTGTTCCTTTGCTCATGGCTGCTCTTTTGACTGACATTTTCCGCGTCACTGTGTTTCTCAGCACGGCCTCCTCGTCTCAGCACGCCAAGCTGACCGGCTCTGACAAGATTCTGCTCAAGGAGGACACCAAGACACTCGGTAAGACAACCCTCGTACCCCACCTGACCCGACCTGGGCTGAACCCATTGGCGATCAGGGCTGGTGGTATTATTCATCTGGGAAATTTGTGTTACTGCGAGTGCTGCTGCACGTTCATGCTTGATTTCGTTTTTCGTCATTTTTTGGCTTTGTTATACCTATTTATCGCAATACTATTGTCATTTTTGTTTCATGTTTGATTTGGAGTTAACCCTTGCCAAACATGATTCAGTTGCTTCCGATTACTCAGATCAGCAAAAAATCTTTTGTTTCTAAATTGCAACTGGCTAGGCAACTGGATTTCCGAGTTTTTTTTGTAGCTACCTTACGTTGATCTCGTCTTTTTATTTGATTTAATTCCTCGTGATTATCCTTTTCGGATTCTGTGTTGCGTTTCATATTTCACCGGAGACTTTTCCTCACGTTTGTGAACTATTGAGCAATCTGTATACTGTCTCTGCTCTCTGTTAATTGCGTTCTCCGGTAGTGTCTGACGGTAGTGTCGCATAAATAGCCGACCATGAGACCTGCAGCGCTGGTCTTAACACGGCATGTTGGCGCGCTCCATATTCCTGACTCACGAGTCTCACTCTCTGCCTTCTGTTCGGTAACATCTGTCTACGACAACTGTAATCTGTGTTCGTATTTGAAGCCTACAGTCAATAGAAAAGTATGTATAAATAACCTTATGCTCATTCTTTGCACTTTTTTGTTGAAATTGAATAATTAAACAAAATCATTGATATATTTCGGCTTGCGCCATCTTCAGAATGTACAGAAACAATTGTCGACACAAACAAACAAAATTCGATTCCATCAATCAATAAATCGTGCAGCGCTTCAATCAGCTCCTTGATGAGAGAATAATTTCATATATACATGGCTCTCGAAATAACGATGCGCCGTCCATGATATCTACGATACATGTACAATATACAACACACAAGATCAATATACAATATACAAAATAACAACATAGAATCTGCATGAATCATCACATTGTTTGGCGCAGCCTAAATCAACGGCACAATCAGACAGTAGTTGTCACAATCAATTTGTGGATATGTACAATATAGTTATGTGGGGGTGTACGATGGACGCTGCAGAAGTGGCCAGGATGAAGTTTGGGTGTTCAAACATGGTTTTTGGTTCCTTATTTCCACTGATTCGGATATTTTTAAATCAGCGACGTCTTTACACACTCTTTCAATGGAGATTTTGAATGACGATGATGTGATTGTACATGATGGGTGTCTTTGGGTAACGTGATCCCCAAGAGGGGTGTTTTTTGCCTTGTTCTTAGCGTCACGAAAGTGTTCATTGAATCTGTCACGGATGCGCCTTTTTGTTTCGCCAATGTAAATAGTACTTTCATTGTCACAAAGATTACATGTAATTTTGTAGTACATAGACGAGACCCTTGCACGACGAGTCAACGGGGTAGTGCGCTCATGTGGCGTACAGGCACGTATCGCGTGGACCAGTGGGAAAACGGTGGCCAAACACATCGTGAGGTCAGCGCTGGAAAGCCCCCCGTGCCCTGCTGGTGCCAAACGCTGTGCCACATGCGAAGCAGGGCTCCCAGGCCGCTGTCACATCAAAAATGCCGTCTACAAAATTACATGTAATCTTTGTGACAATGAAAGTACTATTTACATTGGCGAAACAAAAAGGCGCATCCGTGACAGATTCAATGAACACTTTCGTGACGCTAAGAACAAGGCAAAAAACACCCCTCTTGGGGATCACGTTACCCAAAGACACCCATCATGTACAATCACATCATCGTCATTCAAAATCTCCATTGAAAGAGTGTGTAAAGACGTCGCTGATTTAAAAATATCCGAATCAGTGGAAATAAGGAACCAAAAACCATGTTTGAACACCCAAACTTCATCCTGGCCACTTCTGCAGCGTCCATCGTACACCCCCACATAACTATATTGTACATATCCACAAATTGATTGTGACAACTACTGTCTGATTGTGCCGTTGATTTAGGCTGCGCCAAACAATGTGATGATTCATGCAGATTCTATGTTGTTATTTTGTATATTGTATATTGATCTTGTGTGTTGTATATTGTACATGTATCGTAGATATCATGGACGGCGCATCGTTATTTCGAGAGCCATGTATATACCAGTATAACGCCTTTTGGGGCGACTAACGGAGCGAGCGAGAGGGTGGGCCTTGCACGTGCGAAATTGCGAGGGGGTACCTCCAACTGACTTGTGCACGGCACCCTACTAACTGGTCTCTAGCGATGTGCCAAATTTGGGCACAATCGGCCCAGTCGTTCTCGAGATCTGGAAGCGGCACCCTGCACGTGCGCACGTGCAAGATGGGTCCCAACTGACTTGTGCACGGCACCCTACTAACCGGTCCCTAACCGTGTACCAAATTTGAGCGCAATCGGTCCAGCCGTTCCCGAGATCTGGAAACGACCCCTGCACGTGCGCACGTGCAGCAGCACCCCAACTCTGGCACATGTATATGCAGTGCCTAGTGGGTGCCTACCTACATGCCAACTTTCAGCGCAATCGGCCAAGTAGTTACCGAGATATTGCAACAATTACAAAACTGACACCTCTTCGTTTTGCACGTGGCACGTGCATAAGGGGTCACCCACATGCATCGGGAATAGTCCAATACTTGGTAGAAGGAATGAAGCTACCCTACAAAAATTACCGCGTGTAAATCGGTCAAGTGGTTGCTGAGATATAAGCCTCGCAAAAGCGTGACCACGGCCGGCCGGCCGGCCGGCCGGCCGGCCGGCCGCTCATACTCAGAAATTTCCGTTAATCTAAGGAAAGACTACGCTCGCTTCGCTCGCTCCGTAATGAAATTATTCTCTCATCAAGGAGCTGATTGAAGCGCTGCACGATTTATTGATTGATGGAATCGAATTTTGTTTGTTTGTGTCGACAATTGTTTCTGTACATTCTGAAGATGGCGCAAGCCGAAATATATCAATGATTTTGTTTAATTATTCAATTTCAACAAAAAAGTGCAAAGAATGAGCATAAGGTTATTTATACATACTTTTCTACTTATGATGATGCTCAAAGATGCCATTGCTCGCCTACAACAACTTGAACAAGATTTTAACCTACAGTCAATGTTGGCGTTCAGTGTTCAGACACGGTCGATGTTTGTTGACGGCTGTATTCTATGTGTCACACACTGTAGATGACCACCGTATTCTGTACTAGTGTTCACACACCGAGGTTGATGACTGTTGTGCCCGTATTTTAGCCAATCAGAGCTAGGTGTGCTGTGTTCTGTGTTTGGACACAGTCGGTAACTGTTGGGTTGCTTTGTGTTTTAGCCAATCCGAGCGATGCCAGCACTCTGGTGGATGCTGAAGGTGAGCTAGTCAAACTATGTTGAGTGATTGTCGTAAAGTAAACATCCAGCACTGAGCTTTCCGATGTGGCGATTTTTCCGGTGCCCACGTGTGACTTATGCTACATCTGGTTACTTCATTGCTAGCTTTTTGTGTATACTATTCGCTTCACGTTTTTTCTCATCGAATGCTGTTCTAGTCATATGGTTTTTGTTTGGCTTTCTTCTGCAAGGGATTCATTTTCGTTCTGATATTTTGTTGTTCATTGCTGTTAAATTATTTTCATTCATTTTTTTATAAGTTACATACATAGTCAGGCATTAACTAGTTAGTTATATAAATTGCTGAGGTTGTTCACCAGATGTCCCGCGATAGTCTCAAACGTCCAGCCCTGGCATCAGTTCGTGTTTTGACCGGCAGGCGGCAGCAGCGGCGCCGAGCGGGAGCGTCCCGGTGTCTGGGACAACGAGGAGGACTCAGTGGCCTACAGCTGGTCCTTCTTCCATCTGATGTTCGCACTGGCCACCCTCTACGTCATGATGACGCTCACCAACTGGTACTCGTGAGTATCATAGTGATGGGAGACGGCGGAAAGTCATAAGCTGGTACTCGTGAGTATCAGGTAGTGGTGGTATACTCTGGAAGTCACCAACTAGTTATACTCGTATCAGATAGTGAGGAGATTTCCACTGCTTCGTTTATTTCCCGTCTGGCATTCCTTTTTCTGACTAGGCGTGCATTCGGCATCCGGATAATCATGGATGAGAGATAATTTTCCGGGATCACTGGGATCATTCGGTGTTTTAAGCTGACACCGTGGACAACGGACATGGCAACGAGTAAAAGAGCCATTAGTAAAGCAAAAGCAATCTAAAAATTTGACTAATTGCTTCGATGGCCCCTGCAACACCAAATTATTACCGGTGGTCCCGGATATTTATCTCTCATTTTCCGGATGCCGAACGCAAGCTAGGAGTGCCTTGACTTGCCCGTGTTGGCATACCTAATGTGTTGGGTTTGGTTTGGATGGAGGGGTTCCTCAAACACTGATCATGTCCTGTTCAGTGGCCATTTTTAGTGTTGTAGAAACAAACGCTCTCGTCTGAATTAAACTTCTCGGATGACGATTGCCCTCTTGCTTTTTCGCTTGATTCCTCAACTTCCTTCATAAGGTTTTAACATTTAAGGCTATTTGTTAGACCAATTGAATATGTCTGAGTTGTACCATTTCGGCGGCAATCCATAGCGCTCTTTAAGTATGGATTCTTCCCTCGTTTTTTTTTATTTACTCTGTTGTGTCTCTCGAAGCTCCCGCCCAATCAGCGCCCCCGGTCGACCCGCCGGCGACCCCACCGTCAGTCCGTGACCGGCCGGGTCGCGTGTGTCACCCGTGTCGGGCTAATGAAATAGACTCTGTACCAGCCCCGCACCCATCCCCGAGCAGGCCGACCGAGGCGCTCGCCCGTAGTTAATCACGCGAGCCTTCAATTTGCTGAGTGGTGTCTGTGCTGCGGCGTCCACAGGAGGAGCGGATCGCTAGCCGTGGCCGGTGGTGGGTGGTGGCGTGCTGCTCATCACTAATTGCCAGGAGGATTAGAGGATCTTTTATTAGGTGGCGTGCGTGGTGTGGACTTAGTTAACTCACTCGTTGGGGGCTGACTTACCTTTGTTGTCTGTTGCTTCCAAAGGCCGAACTCGGACCTGCGCTCGCTCTCCAACAACGCCGCCTCCATGTGGGTGAAGATCATCTCTTCGTGGCTGTGCCTGGCGCTGTACGCCTGGTCGCTGGTGGCGCCGCTCATACTCACCAACCGCGAGTTCAACTGAGCGCAGAGCCGATAGATGGCAGGCAGCGCGGCCAGGGGATGCCGCTCCAACACTCGACCGAGATGGGAGACAGCTCCCTGCGTGGGTAATGTTTAGCTTAGTTGGTGTGTGCAGCTTACTAGTGCTTGACTAAGTGACGGCTAGGTGAGCAGTTATTGGGGCAGTTATTGGACTTTTCTTTTATCGTAAGCTTTGTGCTTCATTGGATAGACGTTTTCTGTAATGTCGATATTACACCAATCGATCTAAGGTCAGGCAATTGCTGAGCTGTCTATCGACTACCAGAGTCATTTATTACACATTGCATCTCGTATAACCAACCCATGAGATATTGGTGTATCCTTGATAAGCCGTTGGAGATTACTAATGTAACTATGTACTCCCAACAGTTGGCTAGTCAGTGTTCGGTTAAATTATTTGTTTGGTTATTTTTCAGTTCAGTATCACTTATCAGCAGCTAACTTATGAGGTGCTCTTTGTCGTGTACTCTTGTTCTAATGCTATCTGTCGTAGGACTTATCGAACGGAGCAGTGATTCCGTTTCACCGCACTATTTTGAGAGGCCTGGTGGTGATCTGATGTGAACTAACCCGTGGCATGGCCTGCCACTTGATGTAGCTTTTGATTTGTGACGTGGCAGGCTATCTTGCCGCCGATGGAATCTTTCATTCTTGTCGCTCACATTGGCCGCATTTAGCCGTCGAGACGAACATTGAGAGTCACCGGTCGCAGTGCCGTCAGTCCGTCTCCCAGCCTGTACTTAGGCAGCGTCGGGCGCCTGCCCACTTTGATTTTCCTGTGATATTCCCGCGCGCTGGCTGTATATTGTAGGCCCCACTGTGCGCTCAGTCCGGTCATAGACAAAGCGACGGCACGGAATCGTCCGTAGCTGCTGACCCGGCGCCCTCAGCGTGGAGGTGCTAAGGTACTCCCTTTAGACGTAGTGTTTGGTGTCCTGCACCGGCGCAGCTCAGACGAATCTTGCGCGGCGTAGTTTAATGCGTTATTGAATGTGAGATGGGAAATTCCCAGTTTCGTTCTTTCGCTTGTGTTGGTTAAGTGTACACCGCATTATGTTGTGGTAATAATATATCTACGAACTCAAAATACGCGTGTTATGGAGAGTTTCGAAGCGAGATGTGCTTTTCGCTGCCGTGGGTCAATGAAGACTCGCACATATTTTATCATGGAAAACACACGCATTATGGTGTAACATTTTCCGATGCATCCTTGGCCTGCAAGTTGCGGTCTGCTCAACCCCGCTGTGCATTCCGTTGAATTCCGTTGAGTTACGATATCGTGGTGAGCGTTTGCGATTGGTTAAGCGAGTGTGTTCGGTGCTTGCGTCAGGTGTCTGGGGAGTATCAGACATTGTAACACAAATAATTTATTCCGAAGCTTAAAAAGCTACACAGTGAAAGGCATCTGAGAAGTTACAGTTGGCATACAGTCGAACACGAGGGTGGCTAGGAAGTCTTACAGTTACAAATGTAAGCACATTATAGATGGAAGGAAGCGAGATATTTTTGGTCGTCAGACAACTAAACACCGCTAGTTTGGTTCCACATGTAAGGCCACCGCTCTCCGAACACTACGAGATTCAGGCACATTGGGTTTCTTGGCCTTATTTGCACCGAAATAACGATCACAATTCAGAAACATCACTGACGCATGGACGAAAATTCCGTCAGACAATGAAAGGTGGCCCTGGTAGAGGTCTTCCGCTGCCGACATACGGACTCGAACGGCTCACCAGCCGACAGTAAACGCTTCTCAGACAGACAAATACATGAGGGTGTTGAACGCGTCGACTTTCGAAGGACCACAAAAAGCTGAAGAGCTTGTTTCGCCACTCCTCGCACCACTTAGCTCTGTGGGCGTCCTTTCGACAGCATTAGCAGTGGCAAGAGAATAGGTACATTTACATACACCATGGGACGGAATATTGGAGACAGAGAGAGAGCGAGTGCCGTAAAACAACGCAGCTGCGACGGACACTTGGCTAACACATGACATTGACATTTGACACACACTCGCACCTACACTGACTGCTACATTTATAAAAAGCGAGGAAGCTCAGATTGCACTCACTGATATTGCATGCATAGAGACGGGGGCGGCACCCCCTTTTTTACAACGACCCTGTTGTTGCCCCAGAGGTGACTACAACATTGTATTTGTATAAGGTACCTTCTTCCAAACCACCAGCATGTCTTTCGTTTCAGGCCACCCTGCTAAATGGCATAAAAAAGTCGAGCACATTGTTTTGTAGATGAAGCCTGATGTGGTGGTTCTTGGTCGGGTGTAAGACGTCGGATAGGTACCGCCCCCGTGCGGCACACCGATAAGCTGCTGAATATAAAATATAAATACAGTGGTTCATGGTTGGACTATCAGACACTCCTCGGTTTGGAACCGCCATGTTTTGATGGTTTGTTATCAATGAGGGTGAAGACAAAAAAATACAGAACCCACTGCTTACTAGGTATACGTGGAATGAAGATGCGATCTTGCCTAGTGCGCACCTACCTACTTGAAATCCATTATGAAACAAGCTGAAATTGTGCACTCACTACACATCTAAAGCTTTTCGCAGTTTCATTCATAGATACAACAGCAGCAAAGAAGTTTCAAAGAATACCCTCTAATAAAAACGACTAACCTTCTTTCAGAAAACTATATCTAAGCTCGTTCACTACAGTAACACCAAGACAATGAAAAACGCATAAGGGATCAGGGATTCGGGTCAGTTTGGAGACACGACTCCGTCATGTAATTCGGTTGGGAGCCAGCTGTGAAATCGGGTGTGGCGAAGGTGACCTTTCGGAGGTCAGCGCGGTCACGTGACCCCGTCCTCAGTGCGTGGGCGGTATGATGGGGCTCGTCGACTCTTGGCTGGCCCGGCCGGTGGCGCGGTACCTCCCCTTGGCGTGGCGTCAGAGGGTGCTCGACTTCTTGGGGTCTGCAACACATGGGAAGTGGCTCAGTTGTACTGATTTACATAATCAGCCTGCAGTAGTGGCGAAACACCTTCAATTAAGGGGGGCACTGCCGACTTTTGGTCCCATTCTTTCCATGCAACGCCCACAGGGCTTATGTTAAAATGCCAAAATCAAGGGAGGGGGCCACGGTGCCCCGGTGCCACCCCCGTTCCGCCGCCTATGTCAGCCTGTGCTCCTTGTCGCGTCGTTTGGGTGCAGTTCCTATACGGTTCCTAACATATGGCTATTTAGCCGTTGGAATTAAAATGAAATGATCAAATATATACTGTAGGTAAGTACCTAAATGAAAATGAAATGTAGTAACGTAAAAGTGCAAACTAAACAGTAAACAACCAAATACTATGCATCCATACAGCTCGTGGTATATCGATTGGCCACTGTGCTAATGTACAGTTGTGGTGCGAGCATTGTTTTCCCCAATAAACATAGTGACTTTAGGGGAAACTTAAATTCATTTTCGTATTCTTTACCGCGCGACAGCTCAGTCAAACTAGGTATGTCGTGGGTACCTATACCTACTGTATCGCACTACAGCTCCTGGTAGATATACTGTACCGCACGACAGTCCAGCCTGTACCGCACGACAGCCCCTGGTAGTTATACTGTACCGCACGACTGTCCAGCCTGGACGGTATACTGTACCGCACGACAGCCCCTGGTAGATATACTGTACCGCTCGACTGTCCAGCCTGGACGGTATACTGTACCGCACGACAGCCCCTGGTAGTATACTGTGCCGTGCACGACAGTCCAGCCTAGACGGTATACTGTACCGCACGACAGCCCCTGGTAGATATACTGTACCGCACGACAGCCCCTGGTAGGTATACTGTGCCGCACGACAGTCCTAGCTATACTGTGCCGCACGACAGCCCCTGGTAGGTATACTGCACCACACGACAGTCCAGCCTGGACGGTATACTGTACCGCACGACAGCCCCTGGTAGGTATACCTACTGTGCCGCACGACAGTCCTAGCTAGTAGCTATACTGTGCCGCACGACAGCCCCTGGTAGGTATACTGTGCCGCACGACAGTCCAGCCTGGTAGGTATACTGTAACGCATGACAGACCACTGACCAGCCTGGTAGATAGATATGCTGTACCATTCCATGGTAGTTATACTGCACCGCACGACAGTCCAGCCTGGACGGTATACTGTACCGCACGACAGCTCTTGGTAGTTATACTGTGCCGCACGACAGTCCAGCCTGGACGGTATACTGTACCGCACGACAGCCCCTGGTAGATATACTGTACCGCACGACAGTCCAGCCTGGCCGGTATACTGTACCGCACGACAGTCCAGCCTGGGCGGTATACTGTACCGCACGACAGTCTGGCCTGGCACGTATACTGTACCGCACGACGTACGACACGACAGTTCAGCTTGAATAGTTAGTAGTGGGTCCAAACTTAAAAGCGTTATTAGCTGTTGTCACGTCACGGTATTAAACTTAGCTTAGCAAAATAAATTTCGATATGCGGTCCATTGACGGGCCCAAAATGATTTTACCTTTTCAGGTAAGGGGGTCAAATTTTGCACTCAATATGCGCAACAAAAATGTATCGGAGAAAAGTGAAAACAATATCAAACTTCGCTGCCCTTTACTAGATTACAAAGAAAATACACATGCTGAGTGAAGCTGAAAAGGGATTTCTGATTGTGTTAAGAAATTGATCAAAGAATGTTTACTGTCTGAGAGAATCTCTCCGAGAGATCAGCTCTTACTCACCCCGGGTGGGGCTCTGCGCGTGGCAGTCGCGGCAGTAGAAGACGCCGTACTCGCTGACGCGGACCAGTTTGCCGCAGATGAAGAGGCAGAGGCAGGAGAGCGTCAGGAAGGCGCAGGGCAGCGTGGCGGCCAGGGCCATCTGCCGGATGGTCTGGCGCCGGTCGTAGTCGGTGATGACGTAGTCGGTGCTGCTCGGGGTGACGTGGCACGGGTAGACGGCCGGGTGGCGGCCGTCGCTGCCGTCCACCAGGCGCTCGGCCAGCCAGCCGCTGCACTCGCTGCGCAGCGTGTTCACGCAGCCGTCGATGTTAACCATCACCTGGGTGGCGTTGAAGATGAACTCCTCGGCGGGCACCAGCAGGCGCGCGTGGCGGCGCAGCGCGGCGCGCACGGCCCGGTACGTCTCCAGCGCGCCGAACTCGTCGGCCGGCACCAGCGTGCCGTTGACGCAGTCGTCGCCGACCAGGTCGCCGGCGGCGCCGCCCTGCAGCCGGGTGCAGAAGATGGCCAGCGGCGGCTGCTCGTCGGCCTTCCACAGTGGCTCGCCGAGCACCTCAGCCGCCCGGCAGCGGCCCCAGTGGAACCGGTCGGCGGTGGCCACGGCGATGTTGCCCATGGTGAGGTCGGCGCAGCGCGCGTGGCAGCGCGGCGACTGCAGCTGCCGGCACACGCCGTCCACGCACTCGAACACGCCGCGCAGGTGGTTACACACGTACCGGTTGCAGCGGGTGAGGTTTTCCGGCTGCTGCCAGCGCGCCGTGTTGGTGCACTGGCTCAGCGCCGTCACATTTTTACAGATCGACGTGTGCGGGCCGCGGCCGACGCGCGGCTTGGCGGCGATCTCGGAGCAGTTGAAGAGGCCATGCAGGCCGTGACACTCGCCGTCATCCTCTCCCTCCGAGCAGACGAACGTCTGCAGGTGGTCGGGGCTGAGCTCCGAGCAGAACTGGTCCTGCAGCTGACAGTCCCGGAACACCACCGTGACACCGGGCCGACGCACCGACGCCGTGATGACACGGCACGTGCCGCCCGTGCTGGAGAGGCACCACTCGGCGCACGAGGGGCGCAGGCACGCGCCGCTCGTGGTCGAACCGAGCGTGGTGCACACGGACGCGTCGTCCTCGAAGCGCGCCGCCAGCGTGTAGTGGCTCGGCTTGATGACGATGAAGCAGAGGTAGATGAGTGCCACGCCGGAGATGATGGCCAGCAGCTGGCACAGACAGATAACGTTGCACAGACGGCGCTCCAGCGCGCTCTGGCGCAGGCCGGAGGCCGCGGCGGGGTCGAACGCCTTCCGCTTCCGCCCCATCGGCCGACGGAGAGGGGCCGAGAGTGAGGCGACGCCGGGGACTGAAGGTTGGCGCTCAGATGACCGGGAGCTTCAGCGACTCGAGTGCGCCTTGAAGAGTCGTCGAGTCGGTGATTATTACAAACAGCGCTTAAAACAGAACAACTGGTGGCTGCTAAGTGCCTTGATTCTACGTGCTTAGTCTATGCGAGCGCTTTTCGGTCAGATTTCGTGCAACTACGAACTAGAAGCTTTTGTGCAGCGCTGCGGTTGTCCAGGCGACCACTTACCTCTCGGCTCAGTCAGTCTCAGCTTGCCTGTGTTGTGCACCGTTCGCTGCGGCCGGCCAGGCCCGGTCGCCACCGCCGACCGCCCCGGCTCACGTCTGGCGATCTACAGGCTCGTTTGTGTCCCCTTCCCCGGGTCAGCCAGTCGTGTCGCCGTCGACGGCTTCGACGCAACTGGTGGTCAGTGGCGCGAGCTGCGCCAGCTGGCCGCCAGGGGCGCTGCACCCAGCCCAGCTGGCCCACCATCGATCGCTACGAGACGCGCGATGAACGGTTACCATGACGACCAAAGGCTTGTCCGATGGTCACGTGATACGGGGGTATCTGCCCCGCTGCCTGATATATAAATACTTTGCAGACTTCATAATGCAGTACTATGTCTGATAATTAGACGGAAGACGTGGTGACATCGATCTTGGATCCGCCTAGGTACAGGTATTACCCGTATACCTACCGTAACCATTACCGTCTTGCCTGCATGACCTGCATGCTGGGAAATCCCACATGCATTGGATTTCCTAGTCGATTCCTAATTACCCTATTTCCTAATTCGATGGATTCGTAATTCGGTGAATTTCCTTATTCGTAATTCGGATGGGAAACAAAATGAATCTTACGTCGTGTAAAATCTGTCCTAGATGAGCACGCGTGAATATCACAGACGCTGGCCTGACACAATCTGGCCGATGTCTATAGGTAAACACATGTAGCCGTATACCTACCTACCTGTACTCACGCCCCTCGTCGGCAGCGATGTGATTGTATCGTACCTACTGGAATGATCGTACCTATGAAATAGTGTGGGAACTTAAAGGAAAACACAAAAGATTATTGGGATGCGCTAACTTTTTACTTTACTTCGATAGACATCCATGGGCTTCGTCAATGTTGACGCAGTGCAATGGATATGTGATGCGTTTACTAAGTCCCTCATCCCCGTCTGATCCCGTACCCCTGGCGGGTCAGTAGTGGACGCTGCGGAAACTCCGGCTGTACCATCGAACTGCTCCGGTTCGGTTCCAGCCGGAGCTCGCCGGCATCAAATCAATGTACTGCTGCGCCACCACTGACGCCGCTCCGGGCCCAAAGTGCGGAGTTTCTGACGCCATCGGCCGCAGAGCTCTCACGGCTCTGTGTATGAATATGTTGTGGATAAGATGTAGGGGAGAGTGGGGTAATTTGGCCGGTGGTGTAAATTGGCCGCCCCCACCTGTACGAAAGCTGATAAAAGTGAAAGAAATAACTTTAGTCTCTATTCATTTGTCATCGGCAGAACTAACTCGAGAACAAATGTCAAAACTTTCCCCCTCTTAGTTTTATTCAAATTTAATAAAACGTGAATTTCGTTAGAAAATGGTAACTTTTAGGTACTTCCGTTTAAAAATTTGTATAACATGTAGTATTTGGGCTGTAAACGAATTCCAACATTATGGCGCCATTTTTGAGGGTGTTCAGCGGTTCCAAGAGCAATTTCATCTAGATCTGTACAGCCATGACGAGTTTATAGACAAAAATTTTCAGAATGGCAATGTGGGTTTATTTGGCCGGAACTAGCGGGGCAACTTGGCCGGTGCGCTCAGAGTCACTATGCTGGGAGTGACGGCCAAGTTGTCATGGTCAATTATACCATAAAGGGCATAATTCATGACCAACTTTGACTACCTTGATGAAATATTTCCTATTGGACAGCTGTAAGGGCATGTGACGTCATCAAAGGTTACCTAACGCTTTTTTGCTAATAAATACTTACAGAAAAAAGATACAGCCGCGCAAATGTTCTCATTGTGTTCAGCTCGTCAAGGCGCATCGAATGATATACATGATGACCTTGAACTCACGTAACCTTGAGGTCAAGCGACCTGAGGTAACGTGACCTGAAGCCAACCTATGACCTTGACCTCTCGAGGTCAACACATACATGTTTCGATGCGGAATGGAGAGAGAATTACGATGGTACCTACTTTTAGTTTTGGCCTAGCTTGACTACTTTAAAAGCTATTCGTAAAAAAAAACTGTCATCGCATCTAGAGCCGCTATTTTGACTATTTTCGACCCCTGTGACGGCTGAGTCAATCTCCAAAATGCTTCAAATGCGTCGTAGGGCACGCGTCATTGCTGAATGAGAAGCTGACTCGCCTATAACAAAAATCATGGCCTCAAACTAACACCGGCCAAATTGCCCCACACCTCCGGCCAAATAACCCTGCTAGTGGGGCAATTTGGCCCCTTTGCAGACCTTTGTAATACGTCACAATTTCAATATAAGTAGTTACTCTATCATTTCAACTTTCAAGTTTAATGTCCAGGAAAGTAAAATGTATACCACACCTGTTAGCGTTGAGAAAATGCAGACATGACATGTGTTGTCGATTTTTAGTTACATCGTTTTCTAAAAAAAAAAAACGGCCAAATTACCCCACTCTCCCCTACATGTAAGCCGTTTTCACGACGACCATCTGGTACACATTTGTTGTAGATTAGGTGCACATTTGGTGAGGATTTGGTTCAAATCAGGTTCAGTGTATTTCTTAGTAGCCATCTATCAGCTAGGGTCGCACTATTTACCTATATACACTTAGGGTTGCACTAATTGCTTATATACTTGCCTTGTCATACCATCAGACATTGTCATCGATTAAAGCAGTGAAATAAGTTCATAATCTTAAAATATTTGTTATCAAAGAGATTGGGTGCAGATTTGGTGAGGACTAGGTGCATTCGCCAGATAGCCCGTCGTGAAAACGGCTATAACCTCCTAATCGGGCGGTGTCTGTGGTTGTAGAGGGTCCGGAACGGCCGGTCGTTCGGCTCCCCCACGTGGTCACGATAAATACAGATCGAGTGGTGCCGCCCGAGACACAGCTGAAGAAATAAGAATGAGTGTGAAACAAAACTATAAACAGAATCGGAGAATTCCGAAAATGTGCTCCAAACTAAAGGTCAACGTCAAGGTCATGCTTATAATTGGCCTCAAACTTTTCACTTTTTTCGAACATCTTGCGTACTATAGCTTCCAAAATATTTTGAAACGTTTTGAGGCTTGTCAGGTCGCTTTTGTGGTTGATATTACGATACAAGGCTGCTCCAAGGTCAAGGTCACGGAAGAGTATCCTTGCTAGAGGCTATTTCACTGATTCAAGTTGGTAATGACTAATGATAAATAAGACTATTTTGTCAACCGGAGGCTCTAAATGAACGCTTAGAGGAAAATATATGCCAGATTCGTGATCAGCGGCTACGAATCCATCATAAAACTTTCATGTGTCAATGTTCAACAAAGATCATTCGAGGTCTCATGAGGTCAACATAAAACTTGACCTTTTCCTAACAAAATATATATCATTCGACACGACTTGACAAGGCGAATGAGATGGTACCACTGCCGTAGCTCTTGGACCATGTTGAAGTTATTTGCGAAAAACTAAAGCCCCAGTTCTGGGGTCGTTGACATGACCTCTGACCTCATGTCAACCAAGCTTTTTTCCCTGTTTTTCTGTTTTTCTGTAGGTCTAACGCTTCACAGCCGTGCCCGTAATTTGGTTCTATCTTAAAAACTCTATTTTAGCAGCTATTTGAAGTTCATGTCTGTAACGCTGAAATTTGTTAACCCCCCCCCCCCCCGCCCCAGGCCCGCGAGTCTTTACTAATAAATGAGCAAAAGGTCTTTTCCTAACAGAGCAAATTATTTTGATATTGCTTTTAAGTTTCATCTTCACATCCTCTCTTCGGCATTTTGCAGCAATCATAATGAACGCCGTGTATTTTTCCTTAATTGGTCCTTGTTCGACCACTTGAGCCTTATCTGAGATAAAGCGCTCTAGGGCTCTTGTCTAGCTAGTGGCTGACCGCCGAGCTATCATGCATGATACGCCGTAGGATCGTGTAAAGTGCTCAGATGTCCTGCGCAAAAGTGCTCATGCACTGTGCGTTTGCAGCTTCGAAAACAGTTGGATGACGGCCGTGGGCCTATCGGCACCGTCAGACAGTGCTCCGTGCTCATCGCGTGCTCCGAGGTTTTGTGCCGGACCTTTGTGTAGTGACCGTGAGCGGAGAGTTTCCTTCCACAGTACAGCTCAGTGGCGACCGTGAGTGGAGAGTTTCCACAGTCAAGCTCAGTTGTGACTGTGACCTGTGAGGCAATCTAGTGGAGCGAAGTGGTGATCAGAAACGAAGCTCCCCACAGACATTCAGTGGCGATCACTGACAGTGCTCTTCTGTAGTTTTAGGACAACGTGGACTGGGAGACTCTACAGTGAAAAATTCGTGACTCAAGCTCCAGTGTGAGTCCGATAGGCGGTTTCGTGGACGGTTGGATACGGTACGTACTCAACATGAAAGTATCTTATAGCCATAAGCGCCCGGCGCCGTTCGGCAATAACCAAACATAACTAAAAAAAATGCGACGTGCCTGACGCCATGCTTCCTGTAGATGCACAGTCTTCAAAACAATACTAAGCCACTGACCTCGTCTTTTTGGCCCGTCTCTTGTCTTCCGCCGTTATCAGGCCCTTGTGCCGTCATACAGGGCAAATATGCAACATTCTCTGCAGTTTGCACTGTATTTGACAAACTAGTAATAGGTAATTCTACAGTTTAGGCTTTAATGTTCGAGCAGGGGTGAAGGTACCTACACAATGGAACAATGGAAAATTCCTTCAACAATAGTGAATACTGAATAGCGGCTGGCGCTACCGTTGACATGTGTAACTGTAGCCTCTATAATACTTTGGCAGTGAATGATTATGCCTACATTGCAATGGGTGAACGTTTGAGATGTCGAGGCAGAACACGTATGAAATGCATGCGGAATGCGGGTTCATGAAGCTCAAATGAGGCAAAGGAAAAGCATGCTGCAATAATGCATGGCTCATGACATTATCACATTGTCTGCAAGGCATCCCGTTTCGTCACTGCGGCACGGCGATGCGTCGGCCAAGGTGTTGAACACTGTGACACGTCTATTCTAATGGCTGGAAAGCGTTGCGAACCCGTGATCGCTCCAGATCGTCAATATACACCTGTATCACTTTTCTCTGGTCCGGATGTAGCTTGATGGCCTGCTGGAAGCTCTCTACGGCGTCGGCATGCTGACCCAGCTGGATGTGCGCCTTTCCCTTGTGGATCCAGGCGCGCAGACTGGTCTCGTCCAGTCGCAGCGCCAGATCCAGGTCTTGCATCGCCTCCCTCGCCCGCTTCAGCTTCAGCAACGTCTGAGCGCGCGACGTGTACAGCAGGCAGCTGTCCTTCAGCTCGGTGATCGCGTTAGTGTACTTCTCCAGGGCGTCATCGTACTTCCCCGCTCGAAAAGATGCAATCGCCTTCTCTTTCCACGTATCGGACAGCATTTTGGCCTTTTTCTTCTTTTCAGCTCGTTCCGCGGCATCCGCCTCCATCTGTCGTTTGAAGTCCTCCTGCTGTGCAGTGGCCGGATCGACCGCCGGACGGGGGTTGACGCAGTTTCTGTTCTCGGCCGTTACGACGCTCCCTGCCCCTTCGTCAACAGCGCCTTCGGCCAGTCGGCCGCGGGTGATGAGGTCTGCCTGGCGGGAGGCCTGCTCCACTGTGGCCGAGTCAGGGGAGCGGAGCGCCTCGATCAGTGCTGAGACTTGGTCCACTTTGGTCAGGAAGGAATCGAACTCTTCTTTGTCAGTCATGGCTGGCGACTTCTGGGCTAAAGGAGTTTAACTGTAAACGTTTCCGCTTGCATCCGATGCCAATTCGCAGAGCGTCCGCCGGTCTTGTCCTATCTTTGGCGTGCGTAGCTGTGGGCACAGTGATCAGACGTTACAGCCATGGAATACGGAACAGTATCGGAACGCTTGCACTGTAGTCCGACAAACTTAGAAAAGAACGAATTTAGCATAACAGTTGAAGCACGTGCCTCCTGTATTATTTCAGATACGTCCGAGATTGTTACGAGCCCATTTCCCCAAGACCATAAAACTGTGGTACTCCGGTCAAGTTACAACAATCAGAACGCGTGCAAAATGATTCAGAGCACTTTGGCTTTTTTTCTTACAGTAGACAAACTTTTTAGTGATGTCCTTGCAGGATGCTGAAACTTGAATGCTCGCTTCAGGCGATTAGTGGCGAGCGTGCAAAAACGGCGGACGTCAACATTGGGTTTTATTTCTCACATACGTGATGGCCATGGCCATGATAAACCAGGGACACCAACATTTATATAACAGGTGGGTGGGGGCGCATACTCCGCCGGCCGCAGCTCGACGTTATCAGTCGGAATGCCCCGCCAGCTGATGTAACGCGGAGGCCACCTGATATAGTCGGACGGGGCGTGACACGTGTTTTTGTTCGATGGGTGCGGTTTGTTTAGCCATTTAAGTAATAAAAACCTCAGTCATCAATCTCGGCTCACATTAGACACGATTTCTTTGTCGACCTGTGTGACACTGACTCCTGTGATTGCCACAGGACGGCGTCGGTCCGGCGGCGGCGATGTCCTGCTGGGACGGCCTGCGCGCTCGGCTGCGGTTCGGCCGGCCGGCGCGCGGCGGTCTGGTGACACTGGCTGCCGGCTTCCTGCTGCACCTGTCGCTCGGCTGCGGCTACAGCTACGGCAACTTCACCACCTACCTGACCTCATACCTGGCCGTGCGCCGCCGGTTGCCGGTCGACTTCGGCGCCACGCTGTGGGTGGACGCCGCCATGACGGCCGCCGAGGGGCCGGGCGTGTTCCTGGGCAGCATCTGCTACCGCCGGCTGGGACCGCGGCTCACGCTGCTGGCCGGCGGCGTGCTCAGCTCCGGCGCGCTGGCGCTCATGTACGTCGTGGTCGACACGTCGCTCGCCTGGGTGATCGTCGTGTTCGGCGTGGTGAACGGTCTGGGCGTCGGGTTGGCCTACAGCCCGCCGCTGCTAGCCGGCTTCAAGTGGTTCCCGCACCACCGCGGCCTCATCAGCGGTCTGGTGGTCACCGGGTTCCGGCTCGGCGGAATCATGTTCACTACCATCCAGACCAGCTTCCTCAACCCTGACAACGTGCTGCCCGATCCCGACGACGGCTTCTTCTACGACGACGCGCTGCTGGACCGCGTGCCGTGCCTGTTCCTGTTGGAGGCCGCCGTGAGCGTGGTGTTCCAGCTAATCGGCGTGCTCGGTGTGCACGACCCGCCCGCCGAGCACGACCGACTGACCCCCGAGCCGGGCTTCGGCCGCGCACTGAGCGACACCTCCGATACCTCCGCCACAGCGGCCTCTGAGGGCGCTGACCCTCAGGAAGACCGCAGCAAGACACCAGCGAGCCGCAGCCCTTCAGTGGCCAGCGCTGAGCAGACGACATCCTGGAAGAAGTCGCTGATGACGCTGCCGGCACTGCAATTGACGGTCGGCTTCGCCATGTGTATCCTCACGCTGTCCATCTTCAACCCGCTGTGGAAGGCGTTCGGACAGACGTTCATCCGCGACGACCACTTCATGGAGCTGGTGGGCTCCGGCTCGCTGGTGCTCGGCCTCATCGGCCGCCTCGTCTGGGGCGTGCTCTGCGACATGTTCAGCTACAAGCCCATCATGCTGATGATGCCAGGACTCATCTGCTTCTTCACATTCACCCTGCCGGCCTGCACGGAGGGCAGTCAGGTCATGTTCCTGTTCTGGGTGTGGTCCATCTACTTCTGTTACGCCGGCGTGTTTTCGGTGGTGGTAACCGGCACGGCCGACTGGCTCGGCACCGACGTCGCCGGCCACGTGTACGGGGTCATCTTCATGACGGGTACGCTGGTGTCGCTGCTGGCGCCGCCGCTGGCCGATGCGGTGCTCGACAGCCGCGGCTACCCGAGCGTGTTCCTCGTGTCGGGAGGGTTCGCCGCCGTCGCCTTCGTCGCCGCGCTGACGTTCCGACACATCGACCGCACCGATGTCGACTACCATCGAATGCAGCCCGACATGCCGGTGAAACTGTGACTAGAGCGCGATCGACGCGACGGGGACGCGACTGGGCGTGGGAGGGACGGTCTTTGTGGCGAGGCGAAATGGGTAACAGTGGTGGGCATATCTCGAGTGTTTTATCAACGTTTAATTCAGGGTAGCACATATCAATGTAGGTGTCTGAAAAATTACCTTAATATAGGGCATTTATTATGGCGTGCTATGAATGGTACACTTCCTGCGGTATCCCATGCTTCTTATCTTACTTTTTGTCTAACGTCTTGTTCACTATTTGTGTTCTAAGATGATATTTTATTACATACCTAGCGAGTATATTAGTAAATTAGCTAAACTAATGAGCCGCCAGTAATGCGATGCAACAGAAATATTGTAATACCCAAGATTACTTCACTACTCCTACCTACATTGCACATATGATAACGAAACCAACACACACCGCACGCCTTTTAGCATAATAAAGCCATGTAGTGTGTCCGTGTGTGCGTATAAAGGCGTGGGATGTTGATGCATGCATTTTTTGTTTTGTTATTTGCATGCCGACATACGTGAATTGAGTGCAATATAATATAGGGTGATTTATTTTCTGTTTGAAAGCAGTTGCAGTTAACAGAGCAGAAACCACAAATGAGCGAGTGCACCGAAAACATCAGCGTCGCACATATCGACGAGTCAGAACTCAGAGCTGAGGTCGGAGTCAAAGGCTCCACGGGTTGTTGGCACTCACCAGCTAGGAGTCAGTATCAGTCAGTTTACCTCAACTTCGCCTCCATAACATTTATTTGAATCTGGAATAGCGGTTTAAGCTGTCTCTACGAAAGGGAAGGTGCTGCCACACTTCTTCAAAGTTAACTTTTTATGTATGTACTATATACCCAGGACCTGACCGAAAATGACGAGCGTTATAACTTGCCAAACATTGTTCCCATGAGCGGTTCGGCAAAACATCGGGGTACAGATACGATTTTGTATAGTAAGGCGTAGATAAATGTCCACGAACTTGCTTCTGTCCTCTAGATACTTATTATTATTTCTATCGCTGGGGAAATATTGTAAGTAGGTATTTTTAATCCTTTGGTTTGTCACTTAGACCCCACATTTCGCAGAGTTCTCTCATGTATGTATATACCTACTGATGAAAGGACATTTTTACCATCCTTCACCATAATTGGGTGAAATTCAGATATACTACGTTGACAAATGTTGTTTGCCATCTTTTTCAAACGTAACATTGTTGTTAGGTTTTCGTACTGCTTTTGATGGCTTAAAATAAATTATCTTAACCCTCTAACATGGCAGTAAGATGTATTTTTAAATAACAAAATGAGGCCGAAATATAGAACGAGCTTTCGTCTTACGACATCATCGGGTTCTGGCTTAGCCGAGGCAATCACATTTGAAAAATTGGAACAGAACCAAATATTCACACGTGCACATTGGCCCAGATGGCTTTTGGAGGTCATGTAGCGATACGTATTGCGCAAGAGACGTACACTTAAAAAGACCAATGCAAATATCGGATACAAATCGATACAATTAAACAAGAGCAGACCGCAGCACGCTCGCCGTCACATTCAACTGCATCACACACTGTACCAATATTTAACCATACATGTATGTGGTCATGTAGGTTATACAAGTAGTATCCTTACAATTGTTACAGTACCCCAAATCGTATACAAGTGGTCATATAAACTACACAAAACTACACACGCGGGGGCTGTGTGTTTGTGTTGGGTGCTCGTGCGCTAGAGCCTAGTGTGTTAAAGGCCACGAGCTTTGCATTGTGTTCAGGCTAGGCCGAAGGTTTCTGATGTGGATTGATTCCATTATTTTTACTTCCGCGCAATCTTTACCTGTATCTAGAATTTCTATGCGGAAGGAGTTGTTAATGTCACTATTGGAAAGGTCGTTGTGAGAGTGCAAGATATGCTCGCCTAGTGGTGTGTCTAGCTTTCTTAGACGTGCGTTACTCAGATGTTCGTTGAATCTGTAGCGAACTGGTCTCGTGCATTCTCCTATGTAGGTTTCCGCACGTTCTGCTGTCTCGCATGGCTTACACGTGATTTTGTACACTGCGTTTCTCGTACTGCATTTTTTGTCGAGTCCATTGGTACAGGCATGACAATGTCTGTTGCCGGCGGGACAGGGAGGACGGGTGAGTGCTGATGAGATCAATTTCCTTTGAAGTGAGTTGTTGTTCGTCCATACCGGTTTAATAGGGGCTTTAGCCCCACGAAGGATGCCGTTGACGCGGCGGACTATTGTCTCGTTAATGTACGGTAGCCTCATGTAGACTTGTGAGTTGTGCTGTGCTGTGTTGCGTTTTTCTTTCTGGGTTCTTTTGTGAATGTTGTTTCTGTTCTTTTTGAATCAGAAACAACGTGATTCTTACAAAATCACGTGTAAGCCATGCGAGACAGCAGAACGTGCGGAAACCTACATAGGAGAATGCACGAGACCAGTTCGCTACAGATTCAACGAACATCTGAGTAACGCACGTCTAAGAAAGCTAGACACACCACTAGGCGAGCATATCTTGCACTCTCACAACGACCTTTCCAATAGTGACATTAACAACTCCTTCCGCATAGAAATTCTAGATACAGGTAAAGATTGCGCGGAAGTAAAAATAATGGAATCAATCCACATCAGAAACCTTCGGCCTAGCCTGAACACAATGCAAAGCTCGTGGCCTTTAACACACTAGGCTCTAGCGCACGAGCACCCAACACAAACACACAGCCCCCGCGTGTGTAGTTTTGTGTAGTTTATATGACCACTTGTATACGATTTGGGGTACTGTAACAATTGTAAGGATACTACTTGTATAACCTACATGACCACATACATGTATGGTTAAATATTGGTACAGTGTGTGATGCAGTTGAATGTGACGGCGAGCGTGCTGCGGTCTGCTCTTGTTTAATTGTATCGATTTGTATCCGATATTTGCATTGGTCTTTTTAAGTGTACGTCTCTTGCGCAATACGTATCGCTACATGACCTCCAAAAGCCATCTGGGCCAATGTGCACGTGTGAATATTTGGTTCTGTTCCAATTTTTCAAATGTGATTGCCTCGGCTAAGCCAGAACCCGATGATGTCGTAAGACGAAAGCTCGTTCTATATTTCGGCCTCATTTTGTTATTTAAAAATACATCTTACTGCCATGTTACTGGTCAATTTCATCACCATATTTAATTATTTGATCATGGCAAAACCGACCATTCAATACATCTTAACCCTCGCATGTGTGCGGCGTTTGCCAGCTTCTAATGTGTAGGGGGGGGGGGGTCGGTTGGACCCCCCCTTGCCGTTTGGCCCCTGATCGAGCTAGAGCTTCGCGGAAAAAACGAGCGTGTTGCCCGTGACGAGAGGAAGCCGATGATACCCAATTTTAAGGTCCTAGGTCATTGGGTGACCTTCCAGGTCAGGTCAATGACCCAAAGTCGGGAAAATCGGGACCTGTTAGAAAGTCGTAAAGTGTGGCTGCTAAGGGGTTTTTCGGGGTGCTGATCACGAATATCGTGTTAGTTTTGATCACAGATGATGTCTTTAAGCATTTAGACCAGGTCGGGTCAGGTCAGGTCAGGTCAACCAGTAGGCATCGTGACGGGTATTCGTAGTACGTGTCAACCGCCTCTGACAGCTTCGTAACATGTTACGAAGGCACCAAAACTACTTCGTAAATGTTCAAATGGTTGTTAAATTCGAATTCAGCTCCAAAAACTAGCCTAGAAACATGTACAGCTCGAAAAAGTGAACCGAGGTCACCCGAGGTCACCAAAGGTCAATGACCTGACCTGACCTTCAGGTGACCTTGACACCCACCTAATGCATGGAAGCAACATCAAATCACATGTTTGAACGTTTGAAACCACGAAAAGCTTGCAAACGCGCGGCTTATGCGAGCCGACATACGTAGAATCGCGATTCCGGCCAAACATGGTCTCGGAAAAGAGGTCACAGGTCAAAGGTCATTTGGGTCAGGGTCATGAAATTTTCAGGGTAGGTGTAAAATTGATCAATGTGAGGGTACTGAAAGTTTCGTCGCGATCGGCCGCTTTTTACGCGAGTTATTCGCGAAAAACCATGGGGAGGGGTCCATCCGACCCCCCCCTACACATGCGAGGGTTAAATATATGCATTTAAGAAATACCTAACTGCACAGATTAATGCCTGAAACAGACTCTTTCCGCAGTCAGGAAATCGCATGCGAGAGCCTATTCAAATACATGGAAGCACGCTCGCATCAATCGCACGCACCTCCCGGATGCGGTTGATGCGGGAAGAATTATAATGTATTTGAATAGGCTCTCGCATGCGATTTCCTGAACGCGGAAAGAGTCTGTTTCAGCCTTAAGGGAATTGCAGTAATATCTGTTTCTCAGTAATTGAACGGTTTTATGTTCTACGTGTTTATATGTAGACACAGTCAGAGTCACATGCATTGGCAATTGGCATGCTTCTGCAAGTTGAACGATAAAGTACCTACATGACGGCAAGTATTGCCAAAAAAAGTCCAAGGCAGATAGAAATTAAAGGGAGATAATGAGCTTTCTTTTTTCTTAAAGGTAGACTGCCACCTTTTTTTCACAAAACGGTTTTCACTAGAGCTGAGCCACCTATGTCCCAGACTGAAGTCGGTTTTCCGAAATTCGAACCCGTTTGCGAGAAATCGGAGACCAAAGCTCAGTTTGATGCCATTTTTATAGTCCAAGAAAACCGACATCTCTACTGTTTATCGATAACTTTGAAACATGAATTTTCTTATCTTTTGGTAAATATATGTCAAAACTTTGATTGTTTCGAGATCAGAGAAGAATTTTGGAGTGTCAAAATAAAAGTTAAACTTATATATTCAGTAGTTCATTTTTCCAAAAAAGTGTGGGAAATGGGGTTTAACATGGGCCAGACCCATTCCAAATGAGCCATGATTTTTTAAATGTTTTACGAACTTAAATGCAAAATAAATTAAACATGGCCAATTTCTTATGAAATCATATATTAGTAAAT